TCAGGCTTAATCCCTGGAGTCCCACCCCCCATGGTTCTCAGAACACCGCCAGGAATAATTCCTAAGCACAGAAGTCAGCCCTGAACACCACCAGGTGTGACCCAAAAGGAAAAAAAAAGACTTTAATTGGAAACGGGGCCAAAGAGAGGGAGAATCAAAGGGCTGGAGCATGTGGGAGCCCCAGGCTCAATCCCCAGCATCACATGATTCCCCCAAGCATTGTGGGGATTGACCCCCAAGTACCACCCTGTCCACACACACACACGCACACACGCACACACACACCCCTAAACACCACTGGTTGTGGCTCAGGAAGAAAAGAAAGAGAAAGCAACCACATTCATAGACAACCAGAATCTAATTCTGCCGAATACAAAAAGCTTGAGTGTAAAGCCTGGTTAAGAGGCCAGCGGGGTGCTCAGTGACCCCGCCACTCAGGCTGCAGGCCAGCTGGAAGCACCAACCTTGTATTTGTGAGGTCCCGGGTTCGATTCTCAGCACAGCAACAAAAAGAATGCAGGCTCACCCACTCTGCTTTCTGGGGTCTGGGAGCCACACCCCGCGGTGTCCAGGGGCTACTCCTGGCTCTGTGCTCAGGAGTTACTCCCCCTGGTCGGGTTTGGGGGACCATCTGTGGTATAGGGGACCAGGTCAGCCGTGGGAAAATGCCTTTAGCCCCTTGTACTATCTCTCCTCTGGGCCTCAATTTGAACGTTTGTAAACTGGGTGGTTTGAAGCCCGGTACCAGTTGTACCCCCTCCCCTCGCTGCCAGGCATGGCCCTGGAGAACCCCCACCAATACGTCGGGTCTGGTTCAGAAGAACCTCGAGCATGGCCAGGCTGGCCCTGGTGGCCCCCAGTGTCACAGGCCCAAGCACTGGACCACCTGGCCCAGGTGGCTGAGTGTGGTCAAGAGTGGCCGACAGACCTCCCGAGCAGCCCCCGAGGTGGACCAGACACAGCACAGCAGGCCAGGCGCTTGCCTTGCACGCAGCTGGACAGGTTCAACCCTGGCGCCCCATTTTGCCCCTCACCGGAGCCCCACCAGGAGTAATCCCAGGGCCAGAGACCTGAGCACCACCAGGTGTGACCCCACAAACCAAATCCCCAAAAAACTTGAGGGGTGCCTTGGAGGGGAGGCCCTGTCCAGCCTGCTCAGGCCTCCACAAGGGCCCAGCCACTTCCAAGGTGGCCCTCAGGGGCTGAGGGGAGGGAGAGGCCCCCTGAGACAGTCCCTCAGAAGGAAGCAGCCCCAGGGCATGGGGGTCCGGCTCCCCCAGCCGGCTCGCCCCCAGCAAGAGCCCACAGCCCGGCCGCGCACACCCGCGCCCCACGGGCCCAGCAGCTGGGCGCCCTGACCCTGGCCTGACACACAGAGGCCCCACAGATGGGCCAGCCCAAAGTCCAGACTTTCCATGGAAACAGGGAGGTTCCTCAGCCCAGAATGTCCCCAGCGACTCCCCTGCCCCCCGGCGCTCCCCCCAGGACAATGAGGTACTGTTTCCAAAGGGTGAAGACTGCTGAGAGGCTGAAAGGAGACCTGTCAGGCCCCGGCCGCCTCTGGGCACTGCCAACAGCTGGCTGTGCCCCCCGCCACCCCAGGAAGGCAGAGCTCCCCGGGCAGGCCAGACCCGGACCCACCCTTGGCCAGAGAGGCCCGATCCCAGGGTGGGGATGGTAACGCCGCGATCCTCTGTGCACCCCCAACCCCACTCAAGCTCAGGGCCCTGCTGAGGTCCAGCCCATGCAGCACGACCTGGAAGCGGGTCAGCGGCGGTTCCTGGCCCAACACCCCACCACCACCCCCACTCAGCTCCCTCCATCTCCAGAGCAAGACAAAACACTTCCCCCTTCGGGACCAGAGAGACAGAACCAAGAACCCAGTTGACGCAGCGGCCCTGCAGGCAGCCAACAGCAACTTAATCCCTGGCACGTCACGGGTCCCCCAAGTGGGTCCCCCAAACGACTCCAGAAGTGAGTGCCGGTCCCAAGCACCGCCCTGCGGGGGGGCTTCAACCCCAACCCCCATCCCGCCCGGCTGTCCCCTTCTGTGGGTGGCGGTGCCCATCATATTGCTCCGGAAATGGGGTCTGTTTCCTAGGGGGCTCCCGGGAAGTCACTCTTGGGCTACCACTGTGGCCCTGTGGTACCACTATGGCACCACACGCACCCCGAGTGGCACCAAGACCGTGAATGGCGGGAGTGCAGAGAGCCCATGGGTAGAGCCCTCAGCGTGCATCACAATGTTGTGGGAATTCTGTCCAGGAAACCCCGGCCAGAACCCAAACGGGGCGAACTCCCGGCCAAACCAGCGTCTGAACGGTAATGAGAAAAGCCACCAGCAGCCACCCCGCAGCCTGGCACGGAGGGAATGCGCAGGAAGTGCAGGACACGCTGTGTTTGTGCCTCTGGGCCCCAAGAGCTACGAACTTGTAACTGATTAAACAGCACATGGGGAGTCCGTCACTAGCAGCTCCAAGGGCGGGGAGTTTCCCGAGGTATTTGGGTTGTTTTGTTTGTTCTTTTTTTTTAAGACCAGAACCCCGGAGTTGGGGGGAGCCTCACCCCCAGCCCACACCCCCTGCAAGCTCTTCCCTGTCACAGAGAACAGGATCGCTCACAGCTAAGGCGCTCTCTGGGGAAACATAAAAACAAGAGGCCTGGCCCATGCATCCACCCAAAGGCAGGGAAACAGCTGACGGCCAGTGCGGGGAGCGGCCATCCGGACAGCTGATGGGGCTGAGTGCAGAGGAGGGTTCCGCCCCCCTCCGGCGCCCGTTCCTCCCGCCCCCGGCTCCAGGCGCCCAGGCGTGGACACTCCCTAGTGAGCTGGGCCGAGGTGCTCCCTGGGGCAGGCCAGACCTGACAACTGGTGAGCGACAGGCAGAAGTGACGGGTGGCAGTGACCCTGCGTGCGCACGTGCGCACGCGCACACACACACACACACACACACACACACACACTCCTTGGGGAGAAAGGACCTTGTTTAGTTTGGGGTTTTGGTTACTGGGTTTGGGGCCACAGCTGGGGAAGCTCCAAGTTACTCCTGGCTCTGCACTCAGGAACCACCCCTGCTGGTGCTCCGGGGACCATGTGGGATGCCGAGGATCAAGCCCGGGTCCGCCGTGTGCAAGTCAGGCGCCTCACCTGCTGTACTGTCCCTTCAGCCCCAGAAAGGCCTCTGGTGCTGGGTGCTGGGGCTCAGAAGAGGACTCCAAGTCACAAGCATGTGTGGAGCTGTGCAGGCTCGGGGAAATGTACTGACCTCTCTGAGGTCTGATTTTTCTTCACTTGCAGCCCCGAGGGGTCTGCTGGGAGGCCTCAACAGGTGGCCGTTCTGAGAAGCACTCCACAAACAGCCCCCAGGGCCAGGAGACAACCTCAGGGCCCGGGCCCTCCACAGAAACCAGGCTGAGGGAGGAATCCTGCCCGTCTGCAAACTCCACAAGGCTTCCCAGCCCTCGAACAACCAGGGGCGGGGGGGGGGGGGCAGCCGAGCACCCCTGAGCCACAGCAGTGTTTCGGAAACAGGGGTTCAGCTCCCCGCTCCCCAAGAACGCACGGCAACTTGCCAATCCTGGCGCAAAAAATCCCACCCCCGCGCCCCTCCTGCCAGCTCAGTTATTTCTCGAAGAGAAGAAATACCTGCCTGGAAACCGTGCCAACCTTGAAGGTCGGAAGAAATAGGTGCCAAGCCTGACCCACAGGCAGAACTCAGCTTGGCAGCCAGCAACTCGGCGGCTCGGCGGCACGGATGGGACGGGAGGACACCCCAACCCCAGCTCCAGGGTCCTGTCGGGGCACCCGCCCTGTGCCCTCGGAAGTCCAGGGGCTTGTGGAGGAACACACCAGCCTGAACAGAGGGTCCCCAAGCCCTTTGGGGAGCCATTGGGCCCGTCTGAAGGATCTGGACTTGAGAGTCCAGGGCAGAACGCGCAACCGGGGGACACACAAGCCTCCCACATCCAGTGAGGTTAGACCAGGCCCCCTGGAGCAGAAACCCGCCCGGGGACGTCACCCCCCTGACTCAGAGGCCCCGTGCAGGCCCACGGGAGGGAAAGCCAGTTCTGTTCGCGGGCGCCACGGCATTCCCGTTACAGGCACCCGCAGGGCAGGGTCTCGTCCGGCTTGGGGGACAGTCCCTGCCCTGACGCCAGGCGGGCCCACGCTGGACGGAGAGGCTGGGGAGCTCCAGTAACAGGCGGACGGTGCCCGTCTGTGCCTGGCCCCCTGCTCTCTACCTGCCTCGGGCCCCAGCAGGCCTCGCTGGGGGGGCGGCGAGGGGGCGCGGGCACCGGCCGGCCCGGACAAGTTCGGAGATGGCCATACCTTGGGGCCACTTCCCACCTCATTCCCCTGGCACTGCCCCAGCGTCCGGGAGCCCGGGAAGAGGCGGCTTTACCCTTCTAGGGTTAGGCTGGTCCGCGGGAGGAAAGGGGAGGGGCTGCACCCTCGGTGGAAAGGCCAGGCAGGCCCGGGGTGCGGGGCCCGGGCCGGCCGGAGGGGGGGAGGACGCGAGGCTGAGGGAGGGTGGTCCCGAGGCCGAGGCCTGAACTTGGGAGTCGACTTGCAGAAAGGAGAAGGGGTGTGGGGGGCTCGTGCCAGACGCAGCTGGGGGAGGGGGCGCGGCCAGCACGGGAGGGGGCGCAGTCCCGCAGGCTGAGGCGGCTGCCCGCAGCCCACCTTCCCGCGGCGGCGGCGATCGAGGCGAGGGTCCCGCCCGCTGCCGGGCGCGGTCGCCTCTAGGTCGCCCGTCTCGTCCCGGGAGGCCCGGCCGGGCGGGTCCTGAAGGTGCAAGCGGGGTCGCAGGGGCCGGGCCGGGCCGGGGGGTCCCCGCGGCCGGGAGCCCGGTGCTGGGTGGTCCCGCGGCGGGGCGCGGGGCGCAGCTGCGGGGACCCCGGCGCGGGAGTGGGATCCGCGCCCCGAGCGCACGCGCGCGCCCACCCGGCCCGCGCCGCGCGCCCCTCGCGCCCCGGCCGCCGGCCCCGCGCTCACTCACCGAGGTCGTCCATGGCGGGGCCGCTCGGCGTCGCGCTGGCCGCCCGTTCCGGGGCCGCTCCTCGCGCCCCGCAACTTTTCCGCCGCGAGCCTCGCCGGAACGGAACGCGCCGCCGCCGCCGCCGCCGCCGCCGCCGCGCGCGCCCGCGCCCGCCCCGCGCCCCGCCCCCGCGAGCGCGCGCGCCCCGCCCGCGGCGCCCGCCCCGCTGCTGGCCACGCCCCCGCCGCCCGCGAGCGCCCCGCCCGCGGCGCCCGGCCCCGCTGCTGGCCACGCCCCCGACGCCCGCGAGCGCCCCGCCCGCGGCATCCAGCCCCGCTGCTGGCCACGCCCTCGCGCGCGATGGCCACGCCCCCGCCTCCCCGCGAGCGCGCGCGCCCCGCCCGCGGCGCCCGGCCCCGCTGCTGGCCACGCCCCCGCCGCCGGCCCGCGAGCGCGCGCCCAGCCGGGCGGTGGGCCACGCCGGGCGGGGCGGCGGCGCCCCCTCGCGGCCCCGCGCGCAGGTTTGGGGCGCTCGGGCCTTGAGGCCGGCGGGTCGGGCTCGCAGCCCTCGTCGCCGCCTGAGCTGTGCTCCTGTCTTGACAGCTCAGAGCCCGCGGGACGGACCCCAGGGACAGAACAGCGGTGGGGCTCTTAGCCTTGCGCGCTGCCCACCCCAGCTCTCTCCCCTGAGCCCCTCCAGGAGCGGCCCCTAAGCACAGAGCCTGGAATAAGCTTCGAGCACGCCCGGGTGTGGCCCAACCTCCTCTCCAAAAACACAGCCTTTGTTTTTGTTGGGGGGGCAGACAGCAGTGCCCAGGGTTTACTCCTGGCTCTGCTCAGGGGATCATCACTCCCTGGGGCCGACCTGGCATCGAACCTAGGTCTGACACATACAAGCCAAGCAACCTGCCCGCTGCACAATTTGTCAGGGGCCCCTTGTCAACCTGTTTGTCTTTCTCCCACTAGAGGAGACTGATCAGCTGTTTTCATCACAAAGCCAGACTCAATACTTTTGACGTTAAATATTTCTTAATCTTCCCCGTGGACACCCTCCCTTCAGAGAACAAAGGAGACCCGACCTCAAAGGGGAAAATCACACAGGGAGGCTGGACACTGATCCACGATTTCCTTTAATACCCTCATTGCAACCGAGGCCCCAGGGCAGGCTCTGATCCCACACTCAGGGGTCAGGTCACCGCAACTGGCACTCATTGACAGAGCTACTGCACCGCTATTATCTAAATGAATTCCCGTAGAGGTGGTTATTACCATCAACCATACCCACCCTGCAGTGGGCAGTCGTCGTTGATCTAGTCCGTTGATCTAGTCCGTGTAATAAAAACGTCTGTTTTGTTTCAAGGGCTTCCGGCTCCCCTTCCTCCCAAGAATCCAGCCCTTGGCCTTCTGTGTCAGGTCAGGAAACTGAAGCTGATTTTCGGAGGGTGCTAGGACTGTAAAAGAAAAGGGGGAAAGAAGCCATAGAGGAGGAAGAGGTGCAGCACTAAGAACATTTCCTCAGTGCAAAGGGGGAGCTACTGACAAAGCTTCCAGGGCCAGAAATGCTGAGGCCCAATGGGGGCTGGAGCCATAGTACAGTGGGTAGGGTGCCGACCCGGGTTCGATCTCTGGCATTCCATATGGTTCCCTGAGCACTGCCAGGAATAATTCCTGAGTGCAGAGCCAGGGCCAGGAGTAACCCCTGAGCATTGTCAGGTGTGACCAAAAAGTTAAAAAAAAAAAAAGTTGAGACCCTAAATCTTTCACCTTCCACCACTCGCTGGGAATTCCCTGGAAGAATGGGACTTTGCGGAGTCGGAGAGATGGGTTGTTCTTGCATGTGCCCAACCAGGGTTCAATCCCTGTCACCCTATAGGTCCCCAAGATCCCTGAGTGCATCTAAGTGTGGTCCACAAACAAACAAAGGAGTGTGGCTTTTCCCTGAAGATCTAGCACTTAAATCTCTCTCAACTGAACTGCAAACTCTTTTTTATTTAGGGATCAGGGGCTGCTCCTGGGTCTATGCTCCAAAGAGACTACTTCCAGGTGTGCTCAGGGTACCATGCTGGGGATCAAATCAGGACCAGTAGCATCCAAGACAAACACCTTATCACTTGTATCCCTGTACTCTCTGTAGCACCAGAAATCTCTTGTTTGAAATCAGATTCAAGAAGTTCATCCCCTGCTGAAAGTAGACTATAGACCAAATATGATTTCCACTCAATGCCTCTTTTGAAAACCACAGCACCGAAAAGGAGAGAAAGAACAAAAGGGAATTCCCTGCCACAGAGACAGGGTGGGATAGGGGGATGGGGGGTGGGAGGGATACTGGGATCAGGGGTAGTGGAGAATGGGCACTGGTGGAGGGATGAGAACCTGATCATTATATAACTGAAACTCAAGCACAAAAATTTGTAAGTCTACAACTGTACCTCATGGTGTTTCACTAATAAAATTTTTTTTTAAAAATGTGATCTAAAAAATTGAAAGAAAAAAAAAAAGAAGTTCAACCCCGAGTCTGCCAAACCCTCCTGTATTAAGATTAAAATTCAAGAACCGAAAGATTCTTCCCCACCCCAAGCAGTCCCTTCATGGCACATTCTTTTGAGCTGTGGATGGACGTTTAGAGGTGGAGTTATGGGATACATGTCCCCTTCAGACAAAAAAAGAATGTGAGGCAGGAACCCTGTCTGTTTCTGTTTGCCACATGTCCATACTGAGGATGTAAAGACCGGGGCAGGGTCTCAGTATGTCTTTGCTGGATGACTGACAGGCATGTTGTCCAACCCTGGCACCACATAGGGTCCCCCAAAGCACCGCCCGTATGTCAAGGTTAATTTTAACTATATGGGATCACCCCAGCTCACTGAGCCATCTTCTGGGCTGCCAGTCTTTTTTTTTTCCTTTGGGGTCATACCCGGCAATGTTCAGGGGTTACTCCTGGCTCTGCATTCAGGAATTACTCCTAGTGGTACTTGGGGAACCATATGGGATGCCGGGTATTGAACTCAGGTCCGACGCGTGCAAGGCAAACGCCTTATCCCCTGTACTATCACTCTGGCCCCCAGGCTCTGCTTTAACCTCTCTTCTTATCGTAAGAAGCAGGGGGGGGGGCTGACAGGCACTTCCGCACTCTGAGTAAAACCCTTGAGGCCCAGGAATCGGAGGCAGATGAGGTTCAGATCCCAACTGCCACTGATGCCACCTAAGGCTTGGTCCCTCACCTTTCTGAGGCTCCATTTTTCTCCTCAGTCTATGGACAGGAATTCCTGCAGGCCTGGTCTGTAGCTGGACACCTGGGTACAGAGGCTTTCCTACGCCAAGCTTCAGCTGCCTGGACAGTTGATCTGGATAATCAAACCGTTTCTTCTTCAGGTGGCTGAGAAGATCCAACAGCAACACAAAGCTGGGGAAAGGGCTGAGACGGCCAGGGAGATGGCACAGGGCTAGTGCCTGGGCATCACATGGTCCAAAACTAGGTAAAAGGTAAGATAAAGGCCCTCCCGTTGATCGTCGATTTGCTCGAGCGGGCCCAGTAACGTTTCCATTGGAGACTTTGTTGTTACTGTGTCTGGCATATCGAATACGTCACGGGGAGCGGGTGAGATACTCTCGGCAGCTTGCCGGGCTCTCCGAGAAGGGCGGAGGAATGGAACTTGGGTCGGCGATGTTGGCTGCGTGCAAGGCAAGCGCCCTACCGCTGTGCTATTGCTCCAGTCCAAAACTAAAGAAAAAACAAATAAAAAATAAACTAAAAAGCCCAAACAAGCAACAAAACAATGATCGGGCCAGAGTGATAATACAGGAGGGGAGACACAGGTCTTGTGTGTGGTCAATGGTGGTTTGAGTCTCCAGCACTAGGTGGTCCCCCAAGCATCTCCAGGGATCACTTCTGGGCAAGGACTCAAACATCAGGAAGAGCCCTTGAGCCCGCAGTGGGTACCCCACCCTCTCCAATCACCCCCCCAAAAATTATAATGGGGAAACCTAAAGGGAACTTTTTTTTTCTTATTTTTTTGGGTCACATCCGGCAATGCACAGGGGTTACTCCTGGCTCTGCACTCAGGAATTACTCCTGGCGGTGCTCAGGGGACCATATGGGATGCTGGGAATTGAACCCAGGTCAGCCGCATGCAAGGCAAATGCCCTACCCACTGTGCTATCTCTCCAGCCCCAAAGGGAACTTTTATTTTTTTTTCTTTTTGGGTCACACCTGGCGATGCACCGGTGTTACTCCTGGCTTGTGCACTCAGGAATTACTCCTGGCGTGGCAGTGCTCGGGGGAACCAAATGGGATGCTGGGAATCGAACCTGGGTCGGCTGCGTGCAAGGCAAACGCCCTACCCTCTGTGCTATCGCTCTAGCCCTGTAAAGGGAACTTTAGGGTCAGGAGAGAAAGGCACACATTTGGGGATTTTTGTTGTTTAGTTTCTGTGTAACACTGGCTGTGCTCAGGGATCATACCTGGCCAGGCTTGGGGGACCATATGGGACGCCAGGATGCCAGGGATCAAACCCAGATTGGCCGATGCAAGGCAAGAGCCCTACTCACTGTGCTAGCCCAATATTTCCTTTGGGGGGTTGGGTGCAGGGGAAGGGGAATAACGCAAAGATCCGGAGCACACGCCAAGCACCAGGAGTCCCAAACAGCATGGACCTCATGCACAGCTAGGACCAAACCCCAAGCACAGAGCCAGGAGTAACCCCAGTGCATCATTGGGTGTGGCCCCCTGAACAAAAACACCCAAAAAATTATTTTTCGCTCAGAACTCACCCTCAGAAATTCTGATTTAATTGGTTTGGAATGCAGCCTGGGCATCAGATTTTTGAAAACCTCTCCAGGCGCTTCTCATTCTCAGCCAGTGACCTCTGAGATGGCCCCATGCTTATGACACGCCCTTCATTCTTGTTTCATGCACACATATAGATTTTTTAATTTAACTTTTATTTATGTATTTTTGCTTTTGGGGGTCACACCCATCAATGCTCAGAGGCTGCTCCTGGCTCTGCACTCAGGCATTACTCCTGGTGGTGCCTGGGGGACACTATGGGATGCCGGGAATCGAACCCGGCTCAGTTGCTTGCAAGGCAAACAACACCCTCCCCGCTGTACCATCACTCTGGCCCCACTCATGGACACATATATTTATTTGTTGGGGGTCAGACCTAGTGGTGCTCAG